ATGAGATAGAGGATTTTATGAAATCAGGATTACTAGCAAAAGGAAAAACAAATTCATTAAAAATTACATGTCTAGAAATATAAATTCTACCCGTTGAGGATAAACACATATAACCTTTATAAGAACTATTGTATCCAAGGAACACACATTCAGAAGTTTTAAAGTCAAACTTATTTTTGTTGTATGGCCTTAAAAAAGGGTAACATGCTGAACCAAAAACCTTCAAATCATTATAAGAGGGAGATTTTGAAAAAAGTTTTTCTATAGGAGTTGAAAAAGCTAAAGTTGGTGTAGGCAATCTGTTAATAATATGGACAACAGTGTCAAAAGCCTCTCCCCAATATTTTAAAGGCATGGAAGCATGAGCAAGTATACTTAACCCCATTTCTGTTATATGTCTATGTTCTCTCTCAGCATTGCCATTTTGTTCATGAATGTAAAGACAACTAATATGATGTAGGATGACATGTTCTTGCAAAAATTTTGTAAAGGCTATATATTCTTTGCCACCATCAGTTTGTATGCATTTGATTTTGTGATCTAATTGATTTTCTATCATGTTTTTAAAATGTATGAAACATGTTAATGCTTAAGACTTATGATGTAACAAGTAAATCCAGGTATACTTAGAATAAGCATTAATAAAGTTCATATAATACCTGCTTCCATTAGAGGATGGAATGGGAGAAGGTCCCCACAAGTCACTGTAGATCATTTGCAATGGAGCAGTAAAAGTAGTTGTAGAGGAAGAAAAGGGCAATCTATGTATTTTACCATAACAACATGCCTTACAAAAAGAAAAAGTTTTATTTGTTTGGAACAACCAAATTACACTTAAACATAGCATGAGTAACACTTCTTACATTTGCATGTCCTAACCTGCCATGCCAAATTCTATATAAGTCTTCCTTATTACTACTGTTTAAACCACTAATTAGTGAGTTACATGTTGGCACAAACTTAGTATTCACAATGTTGAGATCATCAAAAGCATAGAGACCATTGCGGAAATAGCCCTTCATGAGAACATCTCTAGTTTCCTGGCATTTGATATTGCATGTATTAGGGTGAAATTCAAAAAACACCTTATTATCTCTAGCAAATTGAGACACACTAAGCAGGTTTTTGGAAACAGATGGCATATGCATTAACTGATTCAAAAATAAAGGCTTAGCTGACTTAGAAGGATAGAAATAAGAATTACCAATGTATTGTATGGAGGAAGAATCTCCATTTGCCATTTTCAGCTTGGCCTCACCTTTGTAGGGTGTCTTACCCATGAGGTTGGATGCATCAGGGGTGACATGGTTTGTTGCCCCGGTATCCGGGTACCAAGATAGATCATATCATGTTTCTGGAACAGCCATTAATGCTGACATATTTGGGTGGTCATCAAGATTAGCCTCAGCGTTCATCACCTTGTTTTGAGACTCTGAGTAGGGACTTTGTTGTTGAAAAATTGGATTATCATTTTGAAAATTCACATTAAATCTATGGTAGCACTGGAGAGCTGTGTGACCAGGTTTTTGACAAACTTAACATTGCACCTTATGATAGCCACGACCATTGTTTCTGCCAAAACCTTTGCCACGACCTCTGTGATTGCTTCCTCCACGAAAATTTTATGGATTCTTGCTATAAAACCTAAATTCTTGATTCTTGCCAAATCGATTTTGAAATTGAGCCATATTTGCTTGAAGAGATTGCATTGCAAAACTATCAGATTCTTCTTTCTTTTGTCTCTCCAAGCGACTTTCAAGGGTAGCTAGGAGAGTTTCAATCTCGGTAACGGTATAGGGGTCAGTGCGGGAAATAATAGAGGTAACAAGAGAGTTGTATTCACTTGAAAGCCCATCAAGAATGATGGAGATGTGTTCAGATGGGTCAATTGGGGATCCAACAGAGGCTAGGGTATCCACAATTTTCTTGATTGATAAAAGATAATTGTTGAGAGAATCAGTTTTACGAATACCTTTGAGTTGGGTTTTCAATTGACATACCTTTGCGCGGGTTTGAGATTCAAAGTATGTGTGGAGGGATTTCCAGATTTGGTGAGCATGGTTGCAACCCACCATACGAACATGAAGAGTAGGAGACATTGAAGCAAGAAGCCAGGTATATACGATTTGATCTTGTTGCTCCCAATTGGCATAATCGTCAGAAATCTTACTAAGAGCCATAGTGTCGTTAACTTTGAATTTGTTAGGGATGCCACCATGAGAAGAAAAATCGATGAATTGTTGTAACTTGAAGGATTTGATGGTGCCTGAAGCCTACATCATCCATGTGAGGAAGTTTTCATCATCAAGTTTGACTGAGACAGGTACGATTGTTTGGATTGTGGAAGCTGTTGAAGAGTTCATTGTTTGCCCCAAGATCTTATTGCTCTTGATACCATGTAAGGATCAGAGAAGAGAGAAGAGAGAAGAGAAAAAAGAGAAAGAGAGGAAAGAGAGACGTATATTGCACCCGGTTACAAAGTCATTACAGAGTATATATGATATGTGTTTTTTTTTTTGTGTAAGTCTATGAGCTTAATGGGCTTTTAACTATATTCCCTTTACACTCTAAATACAATAGATTTATTTCACGACGAATCTCTTCCACCAAATTTTTTCATACTAATGATTATTGAGCCCACTTATCATTCTTAAGAGACAATTATATGTGAATTATGACACTTATAATGTTGATAATTAAGCATATATAGTGTTAAATATAAAATGATATATATGTATATAATATAATACGAGCGTGTGTGCATACATATTCAACGGTCAACATCATTGTGGAATTAAATACATGGTGTTAGCTGAGGCTGCTTTAGGACTTTTTGGTATAGAGAATAATGGCCTCCATGTATGGTGACGTGTGTTTTAATGATGAATAAACTCATCAACGACAATAAATTTTATTGGCTGGCATCACAAAAAATACAGAAACCCTGAGAGAGAATCACGTTATAGCATGTATCATGTAACTTACAAGAATTTTGTTAATTTAACAATCTAATCCAAGTCAGAATATTAACAAACATTTGTCTTTTTTTCACAAAAAAAAAAACAGTGAATGTGTGAATGTTTGTAAAATAAGTAGTTTGACGTGAGTAATACTTCTTCATTAAGCATTCCCTATTGTACTACAATCCCTCCAAACTATAATATATTGAGGAATTAATTAATTAATTGCAATATCTTTAAGAATGAAAGAAATTCTTCCCCACCCCACCCCCACAAATAGGTTTGGCACTTATTTTTGCAACTATTTCAATGGGTCGACATATAAAAATTTTGTATTTAATCTTTGTCACATGCAAGAACTTTGCATTTAATGGAAAATTTTGTATTTGATCATTGTCACAAATAAAAATTCTTTAAAAATTAGCAAAAATTACGGTGCCATGAGTACTATTTTCAGCTTGTTAAGATATTAAAATCGTGCCCTCTCTCTATAGTGGGAATTATTATATTATTAATTATCCAAAGTTGTCTTCATCTATATGTATCAACTCTTGAGTATAGTGAAAAGGGTACTAGAAATAATAATAATAAAAATATATATACATATATGTATTATATATTGTATATATGTATAAATAATTTTTGCTGATGAAAATGGGATTGAGCCGTGAGCAAGTATAAGCCATTGGATAGAAATGGTGAAAAGGTGTAAGAGTGATTCAGTAGCTGACAACTGTTTGAAAAGGAAAGGTTGGACTTTGCACTTTGCAGCAGGTAACAAGTAATAAATAAAAGGAGAGAAGAAGAAGCATCCTTTTTGTTTGCTTCTAACTTTTCTTTTTTCACTTAAATTAATTATAAAGTGACACCTAATTCAGTTGTTTTACTTAAAAAAAAAGTTATTTTTATGGGTGCCTCATGATTTTCTTATTTAATTATGTGACACGGAGCACCCAAAAGAAAAGAAAAATGTGACATGGAGTTTCATTTTCAGATTTGTGTTTAGAAAAATACATTTATCAAAAAAGTATTAGTGCGTGTTTGATTTTTATTTTTAAACGTAATTTTTTCTTCTCTTTATATTTATATGTAAGTTTATGTAAAAATTCTTATTTATTATTGCTAGTTAAACATGATTTTCTACGTTTCAACCAAATACAAACACACGGTTAGTACCTTCCTTCATTTGATTTCAATTTATTACTTATAATGTATAATATTTTATAAACATGTTTTCTATATAAAATATTTATTGATTACTAGAAAATCTTGGTTGACTAATATTTCTTTTTTTAATCACGTCTTTTCAATAATAAAACTCAGATCAAAATTTTATTTTAAAAAATTGAATTCAATACTATTTGAATAAAAAATAATTTCTTAGTATATAATATTAATTTTTATTAAAGCATTAAATTTTTATTTGAATTATTTAAATTAATTTATAAATATTTTATTAGAAGACTCATTTATTTATGTTACAGACCACTGAGTTATGAGTTCCATTAACATTTAAATAAGATCTCAAATTTATATATTGTAGATGAAAAAAAGTAATAAGAATAAATTCTATTTGATTTTAATTTAATTTTTTTTCATGAAAAAGAAAATGTTGATAATAAGAACAAAAAGTGTTAATAAAAAATTCAAAAATTAAAAGTAAAAATTGAATTTTTTTGAAAAATTAATACAAGTGTATTCAAGAATTTAAAAGTGAAAATAAACAAAAATTTAAAGTTTATAAACATATTTAACTTTTTATAAAAATAAAAAAATAAAAAATAAAATAAAAAATAAAAAAAAATAAGTTGTATGTTTCACACATCCTACCCACTCTTTCTCTCTCTAGATTCTATCCTGACAATATCACATGCACATGCAGACAGCTCCACACCCACACATCTTCATCCCACATGGATCATGGACTTGTGAATTGTGATCTATTAGATCATATGTGACACTGGTCCCACACAAACATTTCTCACCCTCTTCCTCCCATTAACAATTTCATAAAAAACAATATTAAAATAAAGGAATACCTCTGTGCCAGCTCTAACCAGATTGTTATTGCACATTCTTATCATACCCCAAGAAAAATAAAATTAAAAAAAAGACCCTTTTTCTCTTATCTCCCTCTTTCCTCACATTCAGACAGACACCTTTGCACTTTGCATTGGCATTAGTCTCATTTTTTGTGTTCCAAGCCATTGTTTGTTCCTCTGCTAATTTTTCGTCCAAGAGGGTGTTTGGTTACTCTCTCTCTTTATCTGCATTGTCTGGTTTGATTTGAGGAACCCAACAAGGTTTTCTTTCAAGAGCTTTCTGTGGCATTCCCTTTCACCTTGCAGTTTTCCTTGGCTTTTGCAAGTGCTGAGGAGGTTGGGGGAAATGCTTTGACAACCCAGAATTGGACTATGAGTTTCAATGAGATAAAGTTGTTAACTTTATGTTTGTGAGAATCCGAATCTGGTGAAATTGGCTGGAGGGTGTGTTCTGTAGTTTTACCAGAAATTGTTTACTTGCAACTGGGAAAGCATCTTTCTGAATCCATTTTGGGACTACAGAACTGTGGGAACTGTTTCATTCTTTTTGTAATTATCAGGGTTAGGACTGCATAAATTGAGGCATGCACTAAGATTTAAGGGTGAAGGAAAAGAGAGGAGGTTTATTACTTTATTTAGTTTATCTTTAAGCACAATGGATTTTGTTTTGGGATGGTGATGGTCCCTTTGAGCTGGTGAAGTTCTGGATTCTGTATTGTTCTATTTGTAGTAGAAACATAATTATTTTTTCCCAGAAGGGGTTTGCACTTTGCGTATTGTGTAAGTAGATTTAAGAGTATTAAAGCAAACAACTTTTATGAAGAGGGTGTAAAATTGATTGTGGTGGTTGAGGGTGAAGGGTCTAGTTCAATTGAAGAAGAAAAGGTTGATATGGCAGCAAAGCTCCTGCATTCTTTAGCAGATGACAACCCAGATCTGCAGAAGCAGATAGGATGCATGACTGGGATTTTCCAACTCTTTGATCGAAACCATATTATCACGGCTCGCCGCATTAGCCAGAAGAGGCTTCCTTCTGGTATTCCCCTAAACAGGAACATGTTCAATTCTGCTAATTCAGTTGTGTTTCTTGTCTTTTGTTTTTTCTCTTTGTCAATCTCTGAAATGATTTATCATTTGAGCTGTTATCTTTAGTGATAATTCTGACTACTAATTGATTATCAGTGTTAATTACATTTGCATGCTCAGGTTTTTCTTTTAAGAGTTAGGAGACCCGGGGGGAAGGGGGGGGGGGGGGGTTTTGGGTTTTTTTTTTTA